ATAATATTATGAAATATTTTACAATGTATATGTGAGTAATTTATTAGTTAGCCTAGAGATATATGGAGTAGATTAATATAGTTATTTTTAGTTGTTATTTAGGTTTGTAGCGAGCTTCGTAATTTTTTAATAAGAATTTATTTTCGTGGCGGCACTGATATAATTTCGGCTCATTTATTTAGTAATTCCTCAGGCTTTTGATACAATATAATAGCAAATTTCTCATACAGACATAGCGGGCACCTTTTGAAAATATTTGAGTAAGGGGGTAGAGACTTGAGAATAGACCGTGTCAGTATAGGGGTTTTGTTAAAATTATTTTTTAAATCCCAGACATAGTTTAAAAGGGCGGTAGACTTTTTACATTTAATATTGCTGAATGATGATTTGTGGTTGTTATATCTGGTTTTCCACTCACTTTCCGTTAATCCAATATAAACTTTATTGGATTGGTTTTTTGTTCATATTTGTTTTTAGATTGATTAAATATAACTTCGTTGGAGGAATTTTGTGAAAGCCTGTTAGATATTGAAGTAGGTAAGTGTTTGATAATTTGTGGTGGGTGATTAGAAGATGTATGGATGTATTGAAGATTATCGTTGGGTTTTTTTGAAAGGTTTATAAGTGTTTTAGGCTAAATTAAAAGTGACATTAAGGAAGTTAACTGATTTAAGATTTGTTTTTATATCTATTTGAAATCCAAAATCTTTAAACTTTCGGATTATGTTTTTTCGCATTTTTCGCTATGTTTTTTCGCATTTAGCTGATTCCTGGTACTGCGGGTAACAGTAACATATACACTTTATACCTCTAGTTTATCTATTGAGCACTCTTTTTAGTATACAATATTATACATGATAATATAAAGATTATTTTCTTTGTTCTTATAAAGAAAATGATCTTTATATTATCATGTATAATATTGTATACTTAAAAGAAAATGATCTTTATATTATCATGTATAATATAAATGGTCTTTATATTATACATGATAATATAAAGATCATTTTCTTATTTCTTTAAAAGTTTATATATATATATATATTTTATCATATATATATATATATATATATATATATATATATATATATATATATATATATATATATATATATATATATATATATATATATATATATATATATATATATATATATATATATATATATATATATATATATATATATATAAACTTTTTAAAGGTTTCCATATTTATATATACATATATACAAATATATAAACTTTTTAAAGGTTTCCATATTTATATATACATCTATACAAATATATAAACCTTTTAATTGTTTTATAGTCTAACATTGTTATGAATAATATGTCAACAATTACAAGATGCATATATATACAGTGGAATAACTTTAAATCAGACTTTGAATGGGTATATATATTTTGTCCGACTTAATGTCAAATGTCTGAGTTAAGCGAAGCTTTCGGTATGTATAGAGAATTCAAGTGGAATTGAAAATTTGTCTGACTTAGTAAAAGTTCAATTTATCCAGGGTCTGAGTTAATGAGATTCTACTGTACATATATTAGAGGTGTGCCTTAACTAGAAAATCTCGAGTCCCTGATTCCAGGTACCCGGTGGTAAAAACTAGGTCCGGTATCGGGTACCCAGCACCGAGTCCATTAAAAAAAATAAAGATAAAAAAAGATTTAATCAAATCAAAAATAATTTAGACAACACTTTTTTGCTATATTTCATTTTAATTTCTTTTATGATTTTTTGTTTGACAAATAAAAGACATTATTAGCTTTTAAAATAAGTGAAAATTAGACTTCCAAATAACCGAATTCAGATTTTTAAAAACAGCTAAAAGATGATTAAAACTCCCTGAAACAAATTCCAAAGAACAGATGTTTAAGGAAAAAAACTAGAGGAATAAGAGTTTTTAGAGCACTTTATAACAGTCACAGAAAAAGGATGAGACTTAATTGAATGACAAGTAAAACAAGAATGAATTTTAGTAGATGGCACAAAAGACGCTAGCTCTTTAGAGCAATGCCTATTATAGTATTTGTAAAAAAGAAAAAGAGAAGCAACATTACAAAGATGTGATAATGGTTGGAGGTTGGCTGCAAGAGCAGGTCCAACTATGTTTACAAAGTGTTTTTGCACCTAGTCTAAAAAAGAAAGGGCAACATTACAAAGATTGAACCTTGAGGAACCCCTGACGTTGCAGAATATGAAGAAGAGTGCTGTCCATCAAGGACAACTTTTATACTACAATTGGAAAGAAAGGACTCAATAATCTTGAAGATGTTTCCAGATACACCATAAGAAGAAAGCTTATGAAGAAGACCAGCATGCCAAACTTTATCAAACGCTTTAGAAATGTCAAGAGCGATGGCCTTAACCTCTCCATCTATATCTAATGCACAATAAAACTTATAGATTGTTACTGCTAGCAAATCAGCCGTAGAACGAGAAGATCAAAATCCATATTGATGATCAGAAAGTAAGTTATTAGATTCAAGATGAGAGATTTAGTGTTTGTTAATTAAAGATTAAAAAACCTTGCTAATGATAGGAAGAAGACTAATGGAACGGTATATAGACGAATAAGATTGCTCTCCGGAATTTTTAAAAATAGGGGTATCAGATGCTGCTTTCCAGCAAGCTGGAAAACAAGACTCTGATAAGCACTTGTTGAATAGTTTTCAACAAGTGCTATCTAAGGATAGACAACAGCTCCGGAGAACACTTCTGCAAGACTATAACAGGTATGTTGTCCAAGACACAAGCTGTTGAAGAGTCTAAGCAGGAAATCACTTTAGATACAGAAGCTGGAATGATACAAATGTCAAGCAATGGATCAAGCTGTTCGACGACTATATCAGGTAGAACGCAACTACTGGAATCAAGAAATGATATCAATGAAAATTTCTTAGCAAACAATTCAGCTTTGTCTTTAGGTGAGGCAACAAAGTCTGAACCATACAAAAGAGGAGGAATTACAGACTTGCCCTTATTATTGTTACTATTGAAGATTCTCCAAATGTCAGGAGAGCCTAACTTTTGTGATGAAATACAAGATTTCATGACTTGAGAATAGCAGGCTTTGGCATTAGACAAAATCTTTTTTACAATGGTTTTCAGCAGTAATAAACAGATATCTGTTTTCTGGAGAATTGTTTTGCTGATAGATATGGAAGTAATGATTTCAATTGGCAATTGCAGCAGCACAATGTGAGGAAAACTATAAGGAAAAGTGTGGCTTGACCTGGAATCGTCGAGAGGGAATAAAGGATTCCATGCCAGCCTAAATCCACAAAGTTGTAATTTTTTTTAAAATGGCAGAAGAAAGAATGTAAAAGTAGTTCAAAGTTTATCTGTATACCAACCTTCTGATTCAGAACATGCTCAAAACACTAAAAAAAGCTCTAGCGCTAATATTAGATAATAATATGACAAAATCTGATTACCAACACTTGATAAACAACGCAGTGAGTAAAAGTTGTAATCTCTATCCTGCACGCAATAATGTTTGTGCTGGTAAAGAACAATGTCTTTCTGAACAAAAATTATGGACTGTTAATAATTTTTCTGGAAAAATAAACTTTTAAGCATTAGTTGATCATACAGCAATACGCCTAATACAGTTGCAGAAACAAGTTATTGATTCCACAAATAATCTTGAAAGACTAACATTACGTTCTAAAGTTCAGTTTGATGGATCAACTAGCCAAAGTATTTATACTCAGGTAACAGTTGAGAAAGGAAATCAAAATCTTTTAGAAGAAGCGAAAAATATGTCATTGACAGAGATAGGTCTCTGCTTTGGTTTGTAACTTTCCATGCTTGGATTAGAAGCATGGAATGTCTTCTTGAAATTAATTATAAATTAACAGTGAAAAAGTGGTCTACAAGGACACCATTTGAAAAGAAAATTATCCAAGGACAAAAACAGAAAATTCAAATAAGGTTTTGTGATAAAGTTGGCTTCATCACGAAGAATGTCTGGTGGTTTCGGATCATCAAATAAAGGAAACACTGCGAGAAGATTTTTTTAAAATGCAGCTCAAATTCTTGAACTTAATGTCAGTATGATAAAGATGTTACATGTTATTTTATGTACATTGCCATCTAGCTTTCTAATTGACTCTTCACTATTTAGAGAAACTGCTACAAAACAGTTGAAAAGTATGTAAATCTATATCCCTGGTATCATATGTCACATTGTTTGCATTGCATTCTTATTCATGGATGGCAAGTTATAGAGAGAATGACTTTGCCTTATGGCATGCTCAGAGAAGAGGCACAAGAAGCTCTAAATAAAAACTTAAAGAAGTTTTGTGAATCATTTTCCAAAAAGTGTTCCCAGTCAAAAGCAAATAAAAATTTATCAATGTGACTAATGTGTTTTTCTGACCCTTAATAAGTAGTTCAAGAAAGTTATATTATTCTAAGAGCAACGCTATTCTAATTGAAGTTCTTGATATAATCAAAGAGGTTAAAATTTTTGACTAACTATAAATTGCAACTACATAGTTTTGATTTTAGTTAGTATTCAAAATATTGTTTACTTTATTAGTATTTATTACTTATATAATAAAATAATGCATGTTATGTAAATAAATGTTTTTGTGAATATACAAATTTGATTGTATTCTAACATATACTTTATAAAGTATTCTATAGCTTTAATTGTATTTTTTGGTTTTTTTATTTAGTTGCTAAGGGCAATTGAAATACATAGATACAATTAGTTCAAATTTTATTAACTGCCTATAAACCCTTAGAGTTATGACTATTTTCAAAGTTTTTATATCATTTTTTAGAGAAATTTTAATAAACTGGTTTATTAAAATTTCGCTAAATTAATAAAACTATAAAAACTATAAAAGTAAGTGAGCTCAAAATATAATAATAACTTATCCCCTTTAGAAAATTAAAAAAAAAAAAGCAGAAATAAATCTAAAAAATTATATAAAAAAAAAAATTGATAATTAATTTTTTACTAACTTAAACTTAACCTGTATAGATATTCATAAACTGTTTAAAAAAATCAGAAGAATTATTTCACTTTTATTTTCATTAGATCTATCACAAATTATTTGATTTATATTCAAAGTAAATTAAAAAAATCAAATTCACCTAAATGTTTACTTTTTAACTAAAACATAATTAGCTTTTTGAAGAAACATCCTTATTATACTTATTTTAGTAATTTATTATATTATATTTAAGTAATAAATATTCTATTTTGAATAAAATTGAAACCTATTAGCTTGTTTTTTTTAGTTGTCCATTTTATTTTATATACTGTTTTTTATATATAGTTTTTTTATATTATCTATAAATTAGTTAGCTATATAGTAGGTTTTTTGGAGGAATCAGGGAGTAATCACTTTTCAAACAATTTAACTAATCATAGTGATTTTCTACACAATTATCTTTAATTTAGACAAAGAACTGTTTAAAAGCCCGAATTCCATAGAGTCAATATAAAAAAAAAAGATATAACTGAGAAAAATAAATTCAAAATACTAAACTAAACAAAAATATATTTACACATATTTGACATTAATAAATTAAGAAAAAAAAGATTATATTATTACTTTAAAATATAAATTACACGCTGGGTTGGCTTTAAATTTTCATCAACAGTTAATCTTTCTATTTCTTCTTTTGTCTGAAATAAATTATTTACCTTATAAAAAAATTTCAACCTTTACAACACAATATTTTTAAATAAAAATGTAATCAAATTATATAAAAAATCAATTTTAATGCTTTTAATCTATAACTTAAATGTATAAAATAATCAATTAGAATTAAACTGATTCTGTTTTTAAGATGGAAAATTAGTAAAACTTTTCTTACAACTTTATTATGTTTTATAGTTCTTTCATCTCTTAGATTTTCCACATTTTCTGAGAGAGATAATTCAATTATTTGCTGGTGAAATGCATCTTCCCAAGCCATCTAATCATTAGTTGTTGACATTTAAAATAACCTAAAGAATAGATTTTTACTATTTAAAGGTTGTATAAAAGTTTTAAATACCAGTTTTAATTTTCATCTTATCAGAAGGCATAAAAATTCTAATTATAAATTTAAATAACTAGTTTTTATGTATTTAAATAAACATAATTTTAGCCAAACTGATGTCTAATTGAAATATAACTAAAAAATTAATCTGAAATAATTTATAATTAGTTAATTAATAAAGGATCATTTTTGAAAAATGTGTTTTTTTGAAACAGGTTTTCAAAAGTGGACATAAGTTTTTGTTGCTTTAAACAATCATTATATAACTTCTGGGTATGCAATTTAAAGTTTATTCAATATCTTTGTGATACACACTTATATAAAGTTGAGCACCGATAGCTTTAAGTTATACAACTTTTTTTATTTATACCTTTTTATCAAACCTATTTAAATCACTTAACTAATGCTTAAAAATCATTTGAGTGAAATAATAAATAAGTTGTTGACAGCTTTTTAGTTTTTTAGCTCAATTATAACAACATTTGTATTTTAACTACATTCTATTTCGTATCAAGTTTAAAACTCTACACTTAAGACATCAAATATAGTTTATTTAATATAGTACCGAACTATATTGATTATAATATTAGTATAAGGTACAATATTAAATTTTTTTGCAAAACATTTTTTGGAAAATGGAAATCTCGACAAGTAAAATTCCGCGCTTTGCATTTGTTTACTTTTTCGCTTACAACTCAAAAGGCAATTGGTATGGAAACAGGTCAGTGTAAAGCCTCATGAATAATGAGATTTAAAACCGTTCAGTTGTAAATAAACATGTTTAAAGCGGTTATGAAGTAATAACGTTGATTTATCACTCTAATTAAGAAATGCTATTAGATGAGAATCTGATACCATTTAAATAATATAATTCTAAATTACAATCTTCTTTTAGGCAAAAGATTTCTTTATAAAAATATAATATTTAAATATAATAATTTTTTTTTAAAGAAAAATTTTTATATACAAAAGAACCAGCTCTATTTGTATTTTCAAGAACTTTTTTTCTACTCTCACATTTAGAAACTGTTTTATCCATCGTTGAATAAATAACTGTGTTTATCATTGTAATCGCTTTGCAACTTTTTTGTGCTTTATTATGATAAACACAGGTTTCGAGTATTTGCACTACAGTGTGATAAATATTAGAGTTAAAAACAATTCAAACCTTTGTTACCAGGTCTTGTTTTATAAAATCATTATGAAAACTCTTAGAGATTTCAAAAAGATTTTCCCGTTTTCTAAGTCTCTTCATTTTAAGTTGGCTTTATGCCTAAAAGTTGCCTATTTCAAACACCAAAACAAGCAATTCCATTCAAAACAATTCCAAACACCAAAACAATATATATATATATATATATATATATATATATATATATATATATATATATATATATATATATATATATATATATATATATATATATATATATATATATATATATATATATATATATATATATATATATATATATATATATATATATATATATATATATATATATATATATATACATATATGTGAAGACCTTACTAGAAAAACCGGCGTTGTCACATTTTTCTGATTTTGAGAAAATCAATATTTAAAGTTTAAAACGCTTTTTAAAGTTTCTATTATACTCAAAAAATGTGATTTTAGGATTTTTATATTGAATAACTATATTTGTATCGAATTATTTATTAAAAAAAAAAAAAAAATTAAGATATTTTTTTAAGAAATTAAGTCTTACATTATTAAATGGACATCACTGCGTTTTTCATTGGAAACATTTCCCTGGCGTAATTACAATTTTTAACTACCCTCTTAACGTAAATAAAAACAATTTCGGACCCAAAATGTTCATAAGCCTCTTGCTTGTCTAAAAAAAAAAGGCTCCCAAAAACTTAAGGGGCTTTAAATGAAGATAGACCACATTGCTAGCTTTTCTTATTTATCCTACTAAAACTAATTAGGAAGTTGAAAATCGGATGTGTAGTAAGTTTTTTCAATAAAAACAAGCAATACAAAACTATTGAGAAACAATCATTAAAAGAAAATTATTTAATCTGTATCTGAAATTTCTGATTCGGAATCTGGTGTTCCTGTGTTAGTAGTGACTAGATTATCAAAAAAACTATGATTATCAGGTTTGCAAAGGCGCTTAAGAACCTGTAGGTCATTATATTTGGCAGCATTTATTGGCAAAACTGTTGGATAGAGATTATACTGACTTAGAGCAGTGTCTTTTTGATTCTTTCGTCGACGTTTTACCAACACAGTATTTTCGATATTGCCATTCCAGTTGTTACGGTAGAGAACCAATGAAGGATGAATATCTTGAAAAACAAGTTCTCTGACTGGTCAAGTTTTTATCGGACATGTGCACTTATAATATTGTTTTAAGAAGTCCAAAAATCTCAAAAAATGTATATTTAAAAAGTTCACAACATTAAAAGGTGAAGGTTTTTTTCGACAATTCTTGAAAACTTGACGCCAATCCTCTGGGATTTCAACATCAGCCTTTATATTAACATTTACCATGTCACGATTACATTCCATATAAGAATGACCTCTTATGGGAAATGAAACTTTAATACACTTGAATCTTTTTTGATAGTGGACTATCCAATGCAAGAAACGAAACACAGTGTAGTTTTTATTCTGTCCTGCACATCCATCACAAAAGAAATGTAATTCAGAAACGTTGTCAGAAAGATGATTAATAATAAAATGATAAAGCATAGAGCAAACATCATCAGCTCTTTTTTTTCATACTGTTTTATCACATGTGTAAAGAAAAACCTCATCACTTGATAGGATGTGAATATTAAATGAAAAAAATTTAAGCTGCCTTCGGTAATACACATCATTAGTGGATTTATTAGGCAATGGCAAATTCTTATGAAAATCAAAAGCAATAGCTTCAAATGTGTCTGAGATTTTTGCTTTATTTTTTGCATCTGATTTTCTGCTATAAAATGAAGCTGCCTTTCTTGTGTGAAATTCATGCTCTGTTTCAAGATCTTTCTTTATTTTTTTAAGTTTGATAATGTCTTCATCGACGGCATTTAAAAGCTCTTGGTCATTGTGTTTTATATTTACAAAGAACTCATCACAAGCCAAGCAAGTGTATTTTCGTGGAAAACCAAACCCAATGTTAAAATTATTGTTAAAAATTACTCTATATGTTTCATATCCTACTTCAACTGTTGGGTAAGCAAGTTTGAAAAGTTCAAACATTTTGGAGACATTCAGATTTTCAGATAAATAAATTTTTTTAGTTTTTCCAAGAGCATAATGAGACGACCTTCCTCTAAAAGAAGATATATGTTTTCGGATAGCTTCTCTGTCACTTTCTGATAACTTGTGCGGTCGATTTTTATGCTTTCCTATATCGTCAATTGGAGGGTGACCTAAGGGAACAAAATTACAATCATTATTATATGAATCATAGTAATAAATATAATCATTAATAAGTAATTAAAAAAATTATAAATTATATTTCTAAAAAGATCTACTAACCAGTTGTAGCAATTGATTTCCGAATTGATTCAATTCTAGATTTTGTTATTCCAAACAAAGACATCATAGCTTTAATGCAAACCGGTACTTCAACAGCTGCTTGTGCTCTTTGCACCCTAACGCTATAAGAATATGAAAAAATATGTAAATATTCTTTATCTTTTTCCTGTCGTGATCTTCGTCTTTTGATATTGTGAATTTTTATTAATGTGGCTAAGTATGCGTCCTGACTATCTTTAGATAAATATTCGTTAAAGTTTTTAATTAATTCGTTTCTTTCTTCAACATTAACAACCTCAAAACATGCCAGTCTTTTGCATTTGCAGTCTGTTCCACTAATGTGACTTGATAAAATGTGCATTTTTTTTCTATTTTTTATAAATTAACATTAATCTTCCTTTTTCTTGATTTTTCTGTTACAACAGGACAATCGGTGCTCGCCATTATTTTTTTTTTTTTTTTTTTTTTTTTTTTATTCTTTTAAACACCCAATAATTACATAAACTATAGGTAAAAGTATTAAAAAAAAACAAAGCACATTTAAGTATTTTCTTGCATCGTTCTTGGAATGTTTTCCTCCATCAGCGTTCTAAATACTTCTCTTTGTTCCTTTAAATTCCAGTGTTGGAACGATTGTTTTAAGATCGCCGCAACATTGGCCTCCAATGCTTCCTGAGGGCGTGCAATTATAATTTTCTTACCCTCGATCATAAATTGGAGCATGTTTATATCAGCTTTCTTACACATTATCATTACCTCACCCACAAATGATCGTTGATTCATTAAAGGCATCTGAGTCCGTATAATCGAGTAACATATGGGGTTGTTTAAAAGCCTGATAAATAGATTTAACTTGTTGCGAAAAAGAATGTCTGACACAGCGTCTACTTTGAAATAAGAATGTAGATAATTTCTACTTTGCTTTGAAATATTAAAGAAGGATTTTAAGACAGATCGTCCAGCTATATCAATGCTATTTAGAAACTTATTGCTGCTTCCACACAGTTCTAATCCGTATAACAACGTTGGAACAGCTAAAGAATTAAATAAATGAACTATGGTAGCAGGCTGGCAAAAGCGAAGTCCATTTCTTATAAGACCTTTTGCAACAGATAAAAATTGCGTTACACGTTCAGTTATATTTTGTTTTTGGAGTGTTGCTGTCATTTTTTTGTTCTTATTATCCCAAAGGAAACCAAGATGTTTTAGATTGTTTTGAGGCTTGATAGGATCACCGTTAATATAAATAACGTTAATTAAAATCGAACTTATTCCAGATATTAGAAATTCAGTTTTTTCTGTATTCAGTTTAATAAAGTTCGATAGTCCATACTTTTGAACAATGTTAATAAGGCTCTGAAGACCAGATATAGTGGAACTTTGTAAAACTATATCATCAGCATATGCAATGATACCTGTGTATACACCATTTATTGAAGTTCCAACTTTTGATTCTGAAACAATTTTCTCTAGAAGGTTCTCTGTGTAGATATTGTAGAGATGAGGCGACAGTATGGATCCTTGACGCACTCCCTGAGACAGCCTAAATTTGTTTGATGTACATCCAAGATATGATATATTAGAAGTTCCTGTTTGATATAGTGATAATATTGTATGAACTATAGATAATGGGATTTTTTTCTGGTAATAGAGTTTCTCGAATAGTAATTCCCAATTACAACTGTCAAAAGCTTTGTTGGCGTCTAGACTGCATATATATAGCGGTGAGTTATTATGATTATAGTGCTTTATTGTTTCACTCAGAAGAAATTCTGCGTGGAGGGTAGAGCTGTTTTCTTTAAAACCGAATTGATGGGAATGACTTTCTGTTATATCTGGACATATGTGTATGATAAGATATTCGAGAAGTTTTGTAAGAATTGGTATAATGCTGATTTCTCGATAGTTATTTGGATTTTCTAGTGATGTTTTATAAGACTTGACTAATGGGATAATTTTGGCGGTTGATAAACCGTGTGGAACCTTTCCATTTGTTAACATATTGTTATAAAACGACGAAAGAAAAAATAAGAAGATTATGCTTATTATGTTTTCTTTTCTTTTCCCGCATAATTCAACCAATTATTACAAATTCTAGTAACCACGTGATTTTTACAACATTCAAAACTACGGACATAGCTGTTTGTTCCAAACTTAACGCTGGACATCGCTAATTATTCCATTGGGATCTGTTTCATTTTATCCTCTTTAAAGAGGACTGGGATGTTTTTTTCATTAGTTTTTTAAAAAAATATATGAAATAAATCATATTTAATCGAAAAATAGTAATAACTCAAATTTTTTTAAAATGTGACATCGCTGGTTTTTCCACTGAGGTCTTCATATATATATATATATATATATATATATATATATATATATATATATATATATATATATATATATATATATATATATATATATATATATATATATATATATATATATATATATATATATATATATATATATATATATATATATATATATATATATATATATATATATATATATATATATAATATGAACAAGGTAAATTTACATTGAATATATTACTGGTAGGACTTTCAGAAGATCACATGATCTTATCATGAAGCCCATTACAATCTATATAACGAATTAAAAGGTAGAAAATTTACAAATATAAATTACATAAGCGTTAGAATATTCTTCAGATGTTAAGCAAGTTTTAACATAATATTTTATAATATGGATACATAACATTCTCAATATTGAACAATATTATAATATAAAGTATTCAGCATATATTGTTTAAATAATATTCATCACACAGTCGACAAAAATATCAAATAACTTGAAATACTAAAAATAAATAAATATATTTTGTGTTGAAAAGATTATTTCTTTTGTTTTCTTTTTAAAGGAGGAATAAGACCATTTAAAAGAAAAATCAGTTTGGTAAAACTATTTTATTCCAAAGAAATGGACCGCGATAAGAAATACAAAACTGGTCAATTTTTGTTTTGCAAAACGGCTCTTGAATATTTTTACTATCATGAAGCTCATATTTTTTTTTTTGGTTCCAAATTATAGAGATTTATAAATACACTTGGAGATAAATTTTCTTTACATTTAAACATAAAATATTAAAAATATTTAGTTCGTATATATTTAAAGCTTTCATTTCTATAAGAAATGGTGTTGAGCTTGAAAAACAATTTCCAAAATTAATTATGCGAGCTGCGTGTTTCTGATGCCGATAGAGAGATTTAAGTTTGGTTTTGTGAGCGCTTCCCCATATAATATTGGCATAGTTTATATGGCAATGAATAAATGAATAATATAGTTGAGTTAGTTGCTTTTTATTTAGTATATATCGAGCTTTGTATAGAACTCCAATGTTTTTAGCAACTTTCATTGAAATACTATCAATTTGCTGACTCCAAGATAAGTTTTCATCTATTATGACTCCTAAAAATTTTGTAAATTTTTCTCTTTTTATGATTGTATTGTCAATGAATAGATTAGGTAAGATATTTTGGATTCTCTTTTTTTTAGAGGTTGGGTGAAAAAGTATAAACTTTGTTTTATCCGTATTCAAGGACAATTTATTTTTTCTAAACCAATATGATATTCTTTTTAGTTCATTATTCATATTATTAAAAAGTATTTCTATGTTTTCGTGCGACTGAAATAAATTCGTATCATCTGCAAAATTTACGGTCGTGAGGGTAGAGGCTTTGTAAAGATCATTTATGTATAATGCAAATAATAGTGGTCCAAGTATGGACCCTTGGGGGACACCGCATGTTATATTTTTTATTATTTGCGATGAAGATTCTTTGTTATAAACAAATTGTTTGCGGTTACTTAGATAGCTTTTGAACCAATTTAGGGTTTTATCTTTTATACCATAGCTCTCTAGCTTTTTTATTAAAATATGATGATTAACAGTATCAAAAGCTTTTGACAAGTCAATGAATATGCCTAGTGTGAATTGAGAATTCTTAAATGAATCGGCAATACTGCGTGTTACTTGGAGAATAGCGTGTTCAGTAGAACTGTTTCTCTGAAAACCAAATTGATTTTTATAAAGGAGTTTATTATCAATAAGATAAGTGTAAATTCTATTATACATTATTCTTTCTAATATTTTTGAAAAGACCGATAGAACTGAGATAGGACGATAGTTTGTTATGTTGGTATGGTCACCTGTTTTAAAGATATATATATATATATATATATATATAATTTTTTTTTTTCTTGCAATATTAGAAAATGCTAAGAGATCGACTTTTCAAAGTTTTAAAAAATTGCATAGTGTTTAATCTCGAGAATACTTTCTCTTTTTTTTCTTACTATTTTTATTTTTCAATTCTCGAGAAATTGAATAAAAATTCTTGAGACAAAAATAAAAAATTTTATTTGCTTTAATGATTAATCATAGTTCTTTAATGATAAACTATAGTTCTATGTTCTTTGCACGTATTAAATGCTAATGCTGCGCAGGGTTTTCTTTTTCTTTCTGTTTTTTTTTTTTTTTACATTATATACTAAAATTATGATAGCAAGAGTTTTCAAGTAATAATTTATTGCAATATTTCATATAAGAAAAAAAAGATAAAATTTTTAAAGAAATTTGTGATTTGTCTGATTCTTTCAAACAATCTTACAAAAAGTTATTTGTAATTTTATTTATTTATTTGTTTATTCTAGTTTTTATAGAAAAAATGAGCAACAACGACAAGGGCAAGACTTATAAAGATGTTAAGTCATATTTTAAAATGATCAACGATGAGGCACAATTTATGTGCTAGAAAGTTATTATGCAAAGGTTGAGCAACGATTGGTCTGCAGAGACGTCTTGAAAATGTCCACAAATACACCCGCGTATTAGAAAATTCTACGTTTCATCAAAATAAACGAAATAAAGTAGAAAATCTAACTAATGAAACTATTTTAAAACTTGTATAACAACCAGCCCTGGCTGAATTGATTTCTAAATTGGCTGCTGAGGACGGTATATCGTTCAATAAAATTACTAAAAGTTAATTTATACGGCAAAGTATAACCGACAGGGGATTCAGATTACCTCAAAATCCTTCTGAGGTGAGACAACTAATGGTGGAGTTTTATAATGAAAAGAAAGAAGAGATAGTACAGATTATAAAGAAACTAAAGGAATAAGAAAGAAAGTTCAGCGTATCTATTGACGAATGGACAAGCGTTAAAAATCATAAATTCATGGCCATGGACATAGAGTACTCAAATTTTCAAGGGGGGCAAAAAGTTGAAGGTTCAGTTTTTTTGAGCGATGTATGTCTACTTTCAAGTGTTTATTATTTTTTATAAAGAAAAAAAAGAAAACAACTTTTGATTTTGGTTAACTGGCTTTAAGAAATTAGAATAAAACAAGTAGATATGAAATTTTACATGGTTTCTAAATAAAACATTCCAAGCGTGTTTCGTTATT